CTCCTCTGGACACTCTCCAACAGTTTCATGTCCTTTTTATACTGTGGTGCCCAGAACTGCACACAGTACCTCTCCTTCCCTGTGAAATGACCTGCAACCCCTTGGGGAAGAACATTATGCAGAGCAAAATTGTGATTCAGATTCAACATCTGACACTTACCCTGACACCTTCCCAAAGTCTGCAGCAGTGATGGTATAGAAATGAATCAAACTGGATTGGCTTGCCAGTATAATTTTTAAAAGAGCCCTGAGACCACGGAAAGGTGAAAATACATTGGTGGGGCACTGGTATGTCAGACAATTGTAAAACCATCGTTTATGTGCTAAGGAGGTTAACCTGAGAGCTATTCTTTAGAGAGTTCAAGGGGCTGATTTTTGCTCTCAAACTAGCTGAAGTCATGGAAGGAGGTCTTCTGCCACTTCAAGAAGTGTTTCATGTCAGTGCTTCACTGTGGGTGTGCACACACATGCACACTCCACCCAATCCTAGGCTGAATTCTTCCAGTGTCAGCTACAACGTCATCCATATGACAAAGACTGATGGCCAGAGAACATCTTTTATTGCACAGCAAGAAACACAAAGCAGCAAGTAGTATTTGTTGAAAGAAATCAGCCCATCATGCTTTAGATACAGATGTTATTTTCCTTATCAAATGCAACCCATTTCTGTGACAGCCCTGATATTCCAACATGGTATGTACCCTTTGGCTGGGAAGGCAAAGTGTTCATCCAGCTCCTTCAAAGCTGCCACTGAGATTGTCTCATAAGTCATCTAGCTAGAATATCTCAGGTAGGGGTTAACTCAAGGCCCACTGAAAGCAATGGAAAGCTTCAGCCAGCTCAGGCCGATGCACAGGTCTCCCTTGGCCACCAAGGAGCAGGATGAAGCCTCAGCTCTCCCCCACAGCAGTTCCAGAGATGTAGCACACCCCATCACCCAAACAGCTGGCAGGGGCTGATTTCAAGCCGTTTCCCCTTTGCACCTGTATAGTACACCCCACATGTAAAATGCTAGCAGACTGGAACAGTTAACACTGGCATGCTTTGTCCTGGGCTTTCCAGCCTGAGTCTGGAAAGTCTTGTTCATCCAAGAGGTGCAAGAGCTGCTGGGGCCCTGCCAGCCTGAGTACATGCCATAAGCCTGACACCCTGTGGGCAAGCCCTGTGCCCACCGTCGGACACATGCCCCCTAGACAGGTCTGTGTAGCTACTCCAAACCAGCTGATAGGCCTCCAGAGATTCCAGGCAAATATAAAAAGCCAAAAAATTCCATCTGGAAAAAGTTTCTGGGTGGGTATGGCAGGACTGTGGAGGACAATCCAGGACATGTAGGATACCTTGAAATGGTAAGAGTGTGAAATGCTGATGAAACACTTGCTTTCTGAGTTGGTAGCCATTTATAACTGAGTTGCCATGATATGAACTACCAGCCAAAGCATGCACCAAGGGTGAACCACTCTGCTGATCTTTAAAAGAAAAAGGCAGCTTCCTCAGGATCACTCCTAAGCACCCAACCCAGAGTGCCAGGGCTACACACCACAACAAAGCACCATTTTCACCAGCTTTCCAATGGGGAGCAACAGCAACAACAAAGCCTACCATCAGCCCTCACAGACTGGACTTGCCTTAAGCATCTCCAGAAATCAGATGTCAGTGGACAGGTGCCAGTGGCTCCAGTATGATGGACACCTGGGGTGCTGATGGTAAATGGACCCTGACTAGGGGTCTCACGCAGCCTCTGGGGAAGACAAAACAGTGTCAAGTCACCCCTCACCCCCCTCACAAGCATGAGTCCATGAATCCATGTATGCTATAAGCCATCCTCAGCCCTCGATCTCTCTTGGGCATGGATGTCAGGCTGAGAAGATAAACTCTCTATGTGCCTTTAACCCAGGAAATGGCAAAATGCGTCACTGCGGCTGGCCGAGTTACAAATAGTGTTGGATATGGCTGTTTTCACTTCTGGGTTTACTGTTTGACTCCAAGAAACCTAAACAGTTTCTGGGAGACCTAGGAAATATGCTACAGCCTACACATAACCACTCGTCTGTCCATCTCTCAGCAGAAATGCTGACGATCAGCAGCTTCCTCCTGGAAAGGCTACATACAGCCCACTGAGGGGAGGTGCAGGGAAATGCCCTGTGCAGCAGGTATAGATGCTCAGAGCAAACAGCGTACCTTCAGCCCCCGTGCTGCTCTCCAGGAACTCTGTTCACCTGATCAAACACCTGAAAGCCTTCAGACCGAGGGAGGTCTGGCAAGCAGATTGCTGTGGTTTAAAGTAGGAGAAAAGACATGTACACAAACATGTTGCAGACATATTTTTAAAGGTGAAAGTGATGTCCAAATCCCTAAAAGGTGATTTCACCAAAAATAATCCAGTTTTACAAATTTGTCTGTTAAGAACTGCCTAAATCCTGCTGCCCGCAGCTTAATTTGCTATGCAGGCAGAACCAATGCTCAGTTCCTCCCCGGCCTTGCCCCTGCTGGGGTTGGTTTCGTGAAGTCCCAGCTTCAAGAGTCACATCCAAACTTGAGAATCAGGCTCTGTTATTGCTAAGGCAAACCCAAAATAAAAAGGCCAGACTAAATTATTTTTAAGATCTCAAGATTTTTAAAGCAGTCTTGTGACTTTCAAGGGGTCTGACTCATAATACTTGAATGCTTGAAGTTGGCAGCAGCAAAGGGAGTGCAGCAAGATTTAGCATACAGGAATTTATTGCTAAAAGTCTTCAAATGTGTGGGAAAGGGCAGAGTGCTTCTGCAGCAACTGAGCAGAAAACAGGGAAACAGGCCCAAGCCCTTGTCCTCCAGCCGGGCTTGCATCAATTTCATCTCCTCCACAAAAGTTACCACACAAAAACAAACAAACAAACAAAAAAACAGCACAGCTGCCCTAGGCATCACAAAAACACTTCCCAAAAGGATGCATGGGTGGGCTGGGGCTGTTTCCCACCTCAGAGGCCATCACTTTGTTGCTCAAGCACTTGACTTCCCGATCACGTAGTGAGGCAGAGCCATCACCCTCAGGGCTCCCCAGGGACAAGGTCCTTCAAAGGCCACCACTGTGGCTTTTGTCTCCCTAGAGCTCTGGTTTCTCCATGCATGAACAGGGACAGCCTAGCCTGTGTGTTACACAGTGACTGGAAGTACTGTATTTCTATTTCTAGGACAACGAGGACAGATCCCTTTATCCCCAGCCCCTGCAGCTGTCATTGCATCCACAAGCTGGTTCCACCACATCACTGGTGCCCAGATCACTCCACAGTCTCAGCATGCTTTTGAAGAAGAGTTTGAACAGTATCACAGGGAAGTTCAAGTAACATTTTTCCATGGTAGAAAATAACTCTCAGACTACACACCCCAGAATCCTCTGCAGGCATCTGGGTACATGGATTAGCAATAAACCTTAAACTCTCAGCCTTCCCTTTAAAAGTGTGTTGTTGTTGTTTTTTAAGTAGAAGTATACTAGAAGTATATAAATACCATGTGTTCTCATTATATAACGCTGTTAAAAATCTGCTAAAATGGATGCATATGGAGTGAATGTACATTGAGTGTAAATGGGCCTCAGTCCAGACCTCCAGCATGCGATACATCTGAGTGTTTCTGACTTCTCAGATAAACAGCAGACTTCTTTCCAGCTGGTGCATGCGCCCAGCATTTGTGCCCACATCAACGGCTACAGCACAAACCTCCCTTCATTTCATCTCATCTCATTTCTGCCTAAATGAACACTGTGATAGGAAGTGCAAGCCAGATACCGCTAGATGCAGCAGATCTGGTTACCCAGCAGACCAGGCTAGTGCTGGCACAGGCTCTACATTTCCTCCCACGCTGTCCAACCAAAATACATCACCACAGGCCTAGAGAGGAACTTTCTGGGGTAAGAAGTTCTCTTAGTGCCACGGCACATTTGCCCCTCTGCCTTTTGGGCGTAGTCGCTGACCAGGTGATGCTGAGTTTTGCAAAGGGAGGTTACTACCTCATTTCTCTTTGGCCACCATGCTTCATGTGAGTTTATTTATCTGCAGGCAGCACTGCTGCTTTCCAAAAGCAAAAAAACAAAAATGAAGACCATATTCAAAACTAAACACAAAAATGAGAACAAAATACACTTAAAACCAAGCTGTTTTTGTTGGTTGTTGGTTGTTGTGTTGTGTTTTGGTTTTTTAATCATTGTGGTGTTAATAAACTACATCAAATCTTTATATCAAGAAAGAAACTACAAAACTACAAGAAAGAAACTACAAAAGTAGAGCCTGACTTTCTCCCTACTTATTCCAGTGTAAAAATTAGGAAATTCCATTAAAGCAAATGGAACTGTACAAATATGAAATGGGGTTAAAGAAATGTCATTCCGAATATTTTCATGCTTCTTTCATAAATGGACATCATTGTACCTATGTCAGGTTCTGTTCTCATTTGCACCAAAGTAAATCTGTAATAACCAGTAGCAAATGCTGCCCTTATTGTCCATGTGAAGTGGCTGTAAATAAATAATGATAGGCACTAAAAAGATAATACCAATTGCACAGTAGTGGCACACAAATCACAGATATGCTATACCACATATACCAAGGGTGTTTTATCTTTCAATTGAGATCCTATAATTTTAGCTGTGTCTAGAAAAACACACACACAAAAAAAAAAATAAAAATAAAATAAAACAGTTCTGTACAGCAAACACACAGCATTTGAGCATGAATTTTCCTATCAATAATTTCATATTGCCATAGTTCATCTTCACTGTTTACATTCATTCATACAACAAAATAACTGGGAGCCAGGTCATTTATAACAGCCTAAAGGATTTAGGCATCAGACACCACTGACTTCTAATTTCTCCCATGATATTAACTAAAGCCATTCGGCATACATTTTTAGCAAGAACTCTTTGGTTAGCTGCAGCATTCTTTGGAGTTTAAGACAGAAATCCTCAAAGCCACTGCTAATAAAAGTCAAGTCACCAGCACCATTTTCCATACATACTACCTCACCTCTCTGCTTCAAGGCGCATTTCCTCGCGCTTTTGCCTCCTGAGTTCTCTGCGGCGTTCAAAGTCATCCATGGTGGGTGTTCAAGTGTTCAGAGCTCTGGAAGGATCCAAACCTAAAAGGGAGATGACCACTCAGATGAGAGAGAAAACACAATGAATGCATTTAACCAACTGAGTCCACTTAGTTTTGTTTTGCTTTCTTAACTTCACTGTAACAATTTTCTTTTTCTATCAAAAAATGTAACTTCCTCAGTATTGTTGAGATAAACAAGATTAATGAAATGCCTTGTAGGATAAACATAGCCCATGCCTGAGTTTAGTTTCCTAGTTAAAATTAAATCAACATGCTTTAAGTAAGGACTGTATACATCTGCTAGCCGCAGACTAGCTATTTGTAACGTCACAGGTCTTTTCCTACAAACAAAAGCAACAATTCAGCAGGATTTTAACTTTAAGCTTCCAGTTTTTACTGGAAGCAGTAAAAATGCTGCACAAGAGATTTCTTGTTTTCTCTAACAGCACAGATAATGAAAAATTTTGCAAAAGCTTGCCCCCGTCTGTCTGTTCCCATCCCCCCCCCCTTCAAAAAAGGAGAAAGGAGGAAAAAAAAGAGAAGAGAAGAGAAGAGAAGAGAAGAGAAGAGAAGAGCAAGAGAAGAGAAGAGAAAGAAGAGAGCGAAGAGAATAAGAAGAGAAGACGATAGAAGAGAAGCAGAAGAGAATGAGAAGAGACAGAAGGTAAGAGATCAGAGAGACGAGACGAAGAGCATGAAAGAAGAAGAAGATAAAGACGAAGATACGAGTAAGAGATTAAAGAGAAGAGACAGAAGGAAATGAGACCGCGAGACGACAGAACATTAAGCAGATCCCTCATCTCCTCTCCAGCCATTACTTCCCATCCAATTCCACGCCCCACCTCCCCTCCCCCACCTTCCCTTCAACCGTCCCACACCACCCTCTCTCTCACAACAGGTGGGTTTGCGTCTGACCAAAAAAAGAAAAAAAAAAAAAAGCAAAAAGAATAAAAAAGTCAGAGCTTTTAAATACACCCCAGGAGGAGCCAAGCTACGTATAAATTGTTCTCAAAGATCCAAAAGCAGCAATATTTTTTGCAGTTTAATCCATGCATTTTCCCCATGCCCTACCTTCTTTATGATTTAGTCCATGAAATATTTTCCCCTTTACAGTTCTTCATATACAAAGCCTTTTCAGCCTTGGTTTATATCCCATCAAGCCGAGTATTACAGAATTCCCCTGCAGCCCCCAAACCAAAAATGACTACCAGAAAAGGGAAAGCTGTTCTCTTTTTGTCCCTGCTTTGTTTACAGAGCTGTCAGTGGTTAGTTAAACTCTGCCTGGAATCTGGCATTTAAGGCCTGCTCTAAGATTGCTTCCTGTGCAGGGCTGGAGGCCTCAGCTTCCTCTGCAATCCTAGCCTCCACGCTGCACTCGGAGGATTTCCACCCCCCCGGACCCCCCCACCATTTTCCAGCCCGGCAGTACAAGACCGGCTGCAAAGGGAGCGAGCGTGCAGATGCAGACCAGCACTCAAAGGGGTCTCAGTAACTGCTTGCAGTGCGAAGGGAGACAAAGCCAAGGTGCGTTTGGGAATTATTTGAAGCGCTCTGTTTGCAGATATGGATCTGTTTTGCGGCTTTATATCCCTGCCCACCGGTGCAGCGTCCAAGCACCCTCCCCATAAAGTCACTGGCAATAGCAAAGCCTCTCATGACTTAAGGGAATCTGTTGCTTTTTCTGCCCCTTTTTTCAGATGAAAACACTGCTGAGGACAGAGGTTTTGCAAAGATTATTTTATTAGTTTACTTTTCCTGAGGGTGTTTCTCTTTCTCATTTGTTTCTGGATTGGGGGATTTAAAATTTTGTTGTTGTTGTGACTTTTTGCGTGTTTGGCTGGCTGAGGTTATTTTGCAGAGGTTCAAAGGGAATGTTTATTTTGCAAATCTGACAGCAACTTTACCATTGCTGCTCCACTTTTTCTTTATGCACAATTAGACAATATATATAACAAGCAAGTTGCAACAAGACCTTTGTTCAAATCTTGTATTTGCTTAGCCTTACCACTGTGTACCACTTGAAGAGCACAGCACACCATGTCTGCCGTTTTCTCCTGAGAAGGGTTTTCATCTCAGCCTACACACGCAGCTAAATTCCCTTGCTAGAGGGGCTGTAAGTTGCAGGAATGATGTGGCTCCCCCCAGCTGGAAGACCAGGATCAAAGGAGGAGCAATACACACCAGAGAGCAAGTCTGAAGCAGCTCCTGGTTTGTGTGCACAGAGGGCTGGTGACAGCGCCTGCAGGAGCTGAGCTGCACCAGGCAGCACCACTTGCTCTGTGGAGGGCAGTCACCAACAGGGCCTTAAAGTACAGAGCTGACTGCTAGGCTGACACCTCGTGTGCTAGAAACCGAGATTCCCAAACTCTTTTTTCTTTCCCTGCCCAAATAGACATGCTTTGGCATCTGATTTATGTGCACCTTCATCCCTTCTAACCCAGTGAGGTACACCTCTTTCCCACCTCTCCTGACAGGGCTACACTCCTTCACTCCCCAAAAGTCCAGACACCATGTACCCAGTTCCCTCCCCATTCCCTCTGCAAATGTCCCAGCCAACACCTTCAGCCCTGCCCTTCCCACGTGGCCTCAGCACCATCTCTCATCTTCAAAAGCTCAGGGTCTCTTCCTCACAAGGAAAACTGAGGAGGATGCACAACAACCCAGAACTACTGCTATTCTTCCCCCCAGCATCTCTTCCCAGGGTGCAGGTGAGATTGTGCTGCAGCCAGGCAATATTCCCTGGTGCAACAACCTTCCTCCATCTTCTGGGTGCTTTCCTGATGTTCAGTGCAGTTCACATCAGTGTATCTCTTGGGTGCACGTCTCAGGTCTGTTAGAGTGTGCTGCCTCCTCTCCATGGACAGAGGGCCACTTTGTGGCACTCAGATGACTTCCAAGCCAAATCACCTCAAAAATCAGAAGGGTACTCAGGAAACTAAGGTCAGGTTAACACTACGAACTTTAATTAGTGAAGTGCAAGAAGATGAGTTATCAGACAGACAGTCCACTTAAAGAAGTCAGCCATTCAGTGCTGCTCACTGCCTTCCACAAAACAAGTTATCTTTCAGCCTCTATAAGCTACAAGACAATAACTTCATCAAAATCAGTCTATCTAAAAATGTTTCCTGTTTCCACAGAAAAGTTTCATAAAATTGCAGTTTATCAAAGTCTTCTAGCCTCAGAAGATTCAAGATGCTTATAGATGAAGGTACCAATTATTTGAAGTATTTCCTACAAACTATTTTTGGGAGTGTGCACATTTTGATGTTCCTTTTTTTTTTTTTAAATAAAAATTGGTCATGAGTGAAAACATCCCGGGTCAAAGCATAACATTCCACATGGCTCCAGGGCCTGCCTTCAGAGACAAATGTGAAAATGTCTCTGTGTCTCTGACCTTCCCAAATCCAGAGAGTTAATCAGCACACAGAACCCATATTTCCTGATCAAAGGTGTGTAAATAAATTATTTTTTTTTTATTCTTTGTATCCATTTTTTTTTCTGTTAAACATTTTAAATCATTTGGTGTCAGACCAACAGAGTTTCATTCTTCTCACAAGAGGAAAATGTCCCTAAGAAAACAGTTTCAGATCACATGTAATGTTACACTCAACCTCAAAAAACTACTTCATTTTTATTATAAAAGTAAAAATTTTGGTTTTAGAATTATGATGGAAATTTTTTTTGTATTACCTTTATTTTTTTTCTGATTTGTTAGCAGGCAAGTTTTTAACTGGATTCAACCATAAGTCAACAACTTATAATGAACACTTATTTTTTTTTCTTTTTTTTTTAGCAAATAGAAGAAGATATCTGAAACTGTTTCACCAGTTCCGTTCCCTTGATATCCACATATATACACAAACTGACGGAATAGTGGCTACTGGTATTGTGAAAAGGTGCACCACAAAAATTGTCATTATGTTGCTCCTACATCAAAACAAGACTCTAAGCACTATTTCAAACTTAGCACAACTGTAATATTACTGAACGAATCTGAAGTGAACTCTCATGAGTTTCCCACCACCAGACTCAAAGGAGGAACTTATGGAAAATATTGCAAATATCTTTGGTCTTGCCTTTTCTTTTATATATTCCTCTCAGAAACTCTTGAAGGTAATTTTTGCTGTGGACCTTGGATTTTCTATAGTCTCACATGCAGGGGTCTTTTTAGGGTCCCTCTCTTTTGATTCTGAGATTGAAGCTTTAGGTAACAAGATGTTTGATGAACCCTGTAGTATTTCTGAAGAGATGCTAAGACTAAAAAAGGACAGATAAGCAAAGCAGCTTACCTACAACATTTACCAGCATCATCGCATTACTTGCACCAGAATTATAGTAAAGTATGTGCCCTGAAAATAACACCATCTCCCCATGTAAACATTCTTTATTTCAAAAGCAGTACCAGAGCCTCTGTCCTTTTTATCTCTGCACTTCACATAGTGCCTTTGATCTTCAGTTGACAAGGGTTTATTGCTAAAATTTGTTGAGTTTTTCATTGTCTTGCAAAAAAGTGCTTCCTTCAAGGACAGACACATTTAATTCCTTCTGGTACAAAACACACGCATGCAAATCCATCTCCCCTTTATGCCTCCTCATCCCATGGAAGAGTTTAAAATTGTCTTCTTGCAGCTTTCAGCAAGGTGGAAAATCAGAGGAATGCACAGTAATTGTAAATATATGACATGATACTTTAACGGTAACCAACAGGAATATACTTTTCAATGGCAAAGAGTAAATTGGCTAAGTGGAAATGCACACATAACCACACAGCTATTTAATTCCATTATGAAGAGCTAAATAACCTCCTGCTCTGGCTCAGGTTTAATTCTGTCCTCACCCTGTCCCCAGCAGTGATTACAGAGACAACCCAGCACCCAGTGGGCCTTAAAAACAGATGAGCTAGACTGATAAAAAGGAAGTGAAAATGCAGACTGCTACTCAGGTCTTTAGCCAACGGAGATGCCTTTCTTTTTAGACCTGCCAGTCGCCTTTCCATTACACAGAATGAGCACTCAACCTAGTTTATGCCAGCCTGTGTAC